CCAGTATATCACATGGTTCAGACTCCCTCTTGTTCTGGATGACCTGATAGACCAGCTAACAAACCAGAATGCATTGCATCCTGTGAACCAGTAACATGTGAGCGATCCTAGAGAGTGCTGGGTTACTTCTAGTTCCTGTAGGGAAATAAGTGTGAAGACCAGTTCAGAGTTAAGCCTGGAAACTGTTGGAGAAGTGTTATGGGTACTACCTGTTTTGCAGGAATCACAAAACGTGAGATTCAGGGGCTGGAGAGATGGCTCAGTGGTCTAAAGCACCTAATTAGAACAAGCTTAGCAGAGCACAGGGACCGCGGTTCAATTCCCCAGCACCACATGCCAGCCAGCCTCGCACCCTGGTGGGCTGAGCTGGACACACACGGGGACACACACACACACACACACACACACACACACAAATAAATAAAATGTTTAAAAAAAATCTTGGTCATGCCATTTTATTACTGCAAACAAAACTGCTATTTTTACTTAGTAAATGTTCAGGAGAATTTTTTTTTTTTTAAATGATTTGTATGGGTTTCAAAGTTGTTTTTGTTTTGGAGGAAGGTCTGTCTGTCTTTTTGAGACAGGGTCTTACTATACAGTGCAGGTTGGCCTTGAGCTCTCACTCTGTAGCCCAGGCTGGTCTTGAACTCTCAGTGATCCAAGTGCAGGGATCCCTGGTATGCACCACCACGCCTGGTGAATGTTTGGCAGTTCTTTGCAGGAGTTTGGGGTGTTACCCCCCTCCCCATCTTGTACGAGCACTGCCATCAGCTGAGTGATTGATGTCTATTTCTATGCATTATGTGCACCCCTGGGCTGGTGCTGCTTAGTTTGGTCACTCTTGGGTTGTTTTACATAACATTCCTCTATAGTTGATCTGGACCTAGAGATTCTCCTCAGATTGTACAGATTTGAAGCCTTCTGAGAGTACAGTTGTTGAATGAATCATCTTCAGGAATAGCTGGTGTTTCAGAATCAGTCTGCTAGATCCAGAAGCCAGAGTAAATGTATGAAATTATGAGGGAGGTGTAAAAAGTGGTCAGAGTAGGGGACATAGTTTGCTGTAGATCAGCACTGTCATAGTAGCAGTGGAAAGACTGTTTGCAGCATTGCCAGGAAAGAGCCAGGGCCATTTCCTCAGGGGTGTCCCCAGAGCCAGGGGACTGGAAGAGGATGGTAGAGCCAGAGATTTTCCTTCTGTGGTGTCTTGAGAGGGCTTCAGTGCTAGCTGCCCAGTACTCCCACCTTTTAGTGAACATAGCACAACACAGCCATGTGGGGGTAAGTGAGTACAGCCTTCCTGTCCCTTCTTGATATCAGCAATTAATGATTTGCTCTCAGGAGGAGAGACCCAAGGGAAATGGTGTTTTACTTCAGTCCTTCTCCCGCTAGTGAGGAGTAACTTCCCCCCAGAGGCCAGCCTGATTGAGAAACCACATTTAAGCCTTGGGGCGTTAGTTTGAAGTTTTGGAATCCCAGTTTACTAGTCCTGGGGATAATGGTTGACTGTTGTCCTTCTTCGAGGGGATTTAGATTAGGCTACATCATTTGTTTTTGCCAGAATGATTGCTTATGTTTTCAGGTTCAGTGTTGATTTCACCAGCCGAATAATTTATTCCCTTGTACAAATGAGAAGCTCTGTAACTAGGTACAGCTTTTTAAAATGTGGTCCACTTGTTTTGTGTGTGAGAGGGAGGGAGGGAGGGAGGGAGGGAGGGAGGGAGTTTATTAGCACAGGGTCTAAAGGGTTTCACTACATAGATTGGACTTGTTATGATCCTCCTGTTTTCAGCTTCCCAGGCGCTGTTATTACAGGTGCCCAGTCTCAATTGCTGTCTCACCAAGCCCCAGGAGCAGGGCTGGTACACCAGGGATTGAACCCCAGCCCCTGCATCTGCCTAAGCAGGTGCTTTAATCACTCAGCTATCTGGCAGGCCCTGGTTCACTTGTTTATCACTGTGTTTTTGCACTTTCTTTTGTTTCTTCTCCTTTTCCTCCTTTTCTTCTTCCTTCTCCTCCTTTTTTTTTTTAAAAAAAGCTTTTTGAGACAGGGTTTCACTGTGCGGTCAGATGCATTACCCCTGAGCTATACCCCCGCACCAGGGTTTCATTGTGTAGCCCAGGCTAGCCTCAGACTCTAAGCAACCCTCCTGCCTCAGCCCCTCGAGTGCTGGGCTTGCAGACATGTGCACCACACCTGGCCTCACTCATAATATCTTGTTGAAAGTGTCCCAGTCTTCTTTCTGGTTGAATGTTGATCCCTGCATGCCTTGGAGCAGCCATTCAAGCTGTTCTGTCGCCCTGCAGGGAAGGTGAGCAAGTCCTGCTGGAGCAAGCACAGGGCCAGTGCATCCAGCGTCTCCTTCCAATCTCTGCTAGTTCCCACCTCCTGTCACCAGGAGCTTACTTTGTGTCTCCTAATGGTCTTCTTTCTTTTGCTATTTTTAATCCAATTCTACCTCCAGAAGTTACAGAAATTTTTTTATGTCCCGTCCTACTCTTTTCCTCTATAACTCTTGAACATTTCTAATTGTCTTTTGCTTCAAGCAGTACTGTTGGTAGATACAAGTAAGAACTTTCCTATTTCTTTTAAATTTTTTAAAAATCATTTATGTGTAATTACAAGGTCTCAATTCACAGCTCAGACTCATAGTGATCCTGTCACAGCCTCCCCAGCACTGGGATTACAGGTGTGTACCACCACGCCCGGTTTCAGTGGCTGACTTGGCAGCACAGCCTGCGTGCCGGGAGTTGAACGGTCAGATGCATTACCCCTGAGCTATACCCCCGCACCAGGGTTTCATTGTGTAGCCCAGACTAGCCTCAAACTCTAAGCAACCCTCCTGCTGGCTTTTACCTCACAATGTAGCCCAACTTGGGTCCTTGTGCTTGCCAGGCAGGCGCTTAGACCTCTGAGCTATCTCCTGAGCCCCTATTTTAATTTTTCAGTTTACTAACATAAAAGGAAAACCTTCTCTTTGTTGTCTTCATTATATAAAATAGCTCCACTATATTTTGAGTTAAATTTTCCTTTATGGTGAGTATATATGCCATGGTTTCTTTTGAAAACAATCCAGTTAAAACTGGAGTTCCTGAAACACTGTTGAATCCTGTATCACAAGGAGGCTTATGTTTGGGTCCTGCTAGATAATGTTTATTTTTAAATTTCTAGTGAGCTGATTTTCCTACTTTGTGTCGAGATCTTTCCTGGTGTCTGCATGCACAATGAAATCTGTGCCTCTGATTTTTAATTTCATTCATTTGCTCAGAAACAGGTGCTTGTGGTATCAGGCACTGTGCTAGTCTCCACAGACTGGGAATGGAAATATTTTCAGTAAAAAGAACGCTGGGCATGGTGGCACGTTCTTGTAATCCCACTTGGAAGCTGAAGCAGGAGGATCACTGAGAATTCAGGCCAGCTTGGGCTACATTGTGAGGTAAAAGCCAGCATGAACTACCTAGTGAGACCCTGTCTTTAGAAACAAACAAACAAACAAAAGTAGTAAGAAATGAAGAGAGTGACAGGGAGCACGTGCCACCTTAGGTGAGGTGCTCTGTGTAACTGTCATTTGGGCTCAGACTGGAATGACAGAGGGAGTCACATACTCAGAGATCTTGGCAGCCAAGACAGCAGGAACTTGGCGCAAAGCATAATGGATGTGGGAGGCCTAGGGCACGTAAGGTGTGGCAGATTGGGGGAGCATTGTCCAGAGAGGGGACTTCAGTCTGAGTGTGCTGAGCTTTGAGCTCTGCTGAGGAGGAAATGAGTTTGCCCACTTGTGGATTTCCCAGCTGTCTCCCAGGAGATTCTGCCTTCGGTGCAGCATTTTAATGAATTAATCTTTGCATGTGAGGGTGTTGTAGCATACAAGCATTTTGCAGCCTGTGAGCTGAACCTTTCCTCATCCCTTTTCTTCACAAAGTACACATGTTCTGAAATCCTGCAATAGAAATTTTAGGAGATAGAGGAGATTGTTGCTGCATAGCTCAGGCTGGCCTCAAACTCAAGATCCTCCTAAGAGCCTCAGCCTACCAAGAGCTGGGATTATAGGCGTGTGCTAGCTATCACATATGGTGTTATGGTTCTAGTTCTTGATGTGTTAGCTTATAGGCTTGGTTGGTAATTCATGATTGTGTGAAAGCCAAAAAAAAATCTCTTTGTTATCTAGATATTGTAGGCTTTTGGTACTAATTGATATAAGATTTCTATCCTAAGGAGTTTTTAGATAAAAGGCTTGTGTTGCTCTGGGGTATAGCTTTTGGGAAAGAGTTCATATGAGGTTCTGGGTTAGATCCCCAGCACTATTAAAAATGTTATGTATTTACAGGTTACTTTTATTTTGTTATTTTATTGTGGAGCCCTCCCCAGCTGCTTTATTACATGGGTTCATCAGTTGTCATGGTGGACCCCAACAGATTACTTTTAAAAACTGATGAAAGAATACATAGAACTGTTCGCATTTGCAGAATATCTTGTGCTTGTGGTCATTAATACTTACTAATGTCAGGGCCAGCCAGATAGCTCAGCAGACTAAAGTGCCTGCTTAGGCAGAGCACAGCGGCCGGGGTTCATTCCCAAGCGTGCTGTGTTGGCCCTACCCCTGGGGTACACTGAGACAGCAATTGAGAATGGGTATGGTGGTGCGCACCTGTAAGCCCAGCGCTTGGGAGGCTGAAAGCAGGAGAATCACTATAAGTTTGATCTACGTATTGAGACCCTGTAGACCCTGTACTAAATACATTTTTTTAAAAAGTTGTTAATGTCACCAAACTATTTAATTCATAATAGCTTAATTGCTTAAAAGTGTTCTCAAGGCAAATTAATGAAATTTATTTTCCAAAAACGATTTTATTTTGCTGCTTCAATTGCTTAGATGATAATCAAAGACATGTTTTCCGAGCGAGGTACCTTCTTCATCTGTTAGAGTGGCTTTTTGTAAAACAGACTTAATGGCTTTATAGGCTAATGTACACTGAACTGTTTCTCTCTTTTATAGGGAAATCCTCATTGACGATTCAATTTGTTGAAGGCCAATTTGTTGACTCCTATGATCCAACCATAGAGAACAGTGAGTATTGTTTTCAAGCACTTTGTACACTTACAGAGCTCCTGTCACACACAAATGGCCATTGTGTGCCTTGGGGGTTGTGATTACAGGAGGTACTTGGTTAAATCTGTGTTTCTCCAACTGAGAGCAAAGACTGCTTGCAGTGGGTAGCACTTTGCACTGAGTGATAGTTTACTTAATGCCCAGATCCCCTGCCATCTAGAAATTTCTATAAGTCCATAGGAGACTGGCTCTGCATTGGACCCTTCATATCCAGAATCTGTTTTAATTAAGAATAGAGAGCACAGTCTTATTTTTCTTCTCTTGTTTTTCTTCCTACCTTGCCCAGGCTGGTATTGAACTCTTAGGGTGAAAGGCCTCCTGCATAGCGGGGACTATCCATGAGGGCAAACCTGTTAGAGCTTTCATTGATAGCAAACAGCCCCCTGCCACTCACATGCTGTGGGTTCACCACCTGTAGTTAACAGGCGTGCACCACTGTGCCCTGATTGCCTGGCTTCTTCAGGCTGGGAACATCATCTTTAATCATGTGGGGGGCTTTTTGTTTATTTATTGTGGTACCAGAATTGAACCTGTGACGGGCTGGTGAGATGGCTCAGTGGTCTAAAGCACCTACTTAGAACAAGCTTGGCAAAGCACAGGGACCGCGGTTCAATCCCCCAGCACCACATGCCAGCCAGCCCCGCCCCCTGGTGGGCTGAGCTGGCCACACACACACACACACACACACACACACACACACATAAATAATAAAAAATAAAAATAAAATAAAATAGAATTGAACCTGTGGTCTCTGTACTGAGTCATACCCCCAGCCCTTTCTTTCTAAACTTCTTATTTTGAGACAGAGGCTTGTTCATTCTCTTTCTTTCTTTCATTCATTCATTCATTCATTCATTCATTCATGTATTTGGTTGTTGCAGAGTCTCACTATGCAGTTAGTTCAGACACATGGTGATCCTCAGCTTCCCCAGCTCCAGGATTATAGGTGCGCCCTACTATGCCCAGATTCTGACTGGCTCAGCCCATACTGGGGGAGCAAGGCAGGCGCAGCATGTGGTGCTGGGGATCAAACCGAGGTCCCTGCATTTGTCTAAACTTGCTTAATCTGGCACTTAAGTCTGCTGAGCTATCTTGCCGGCCCCAACATATTTTCTATTTTAGTGTTCAACCCTGACCACTTTTCATCTCAAAGATGATTTCAGAGTATTTGCTTATTGAAGTCTTTAGGCATGATCAGAAATGGATATCAAGGGCTGGTGAGATTGCTCAGTGGTGTAAAGCACCTACTTAGAACAAGCTTAGCAAAGCACAGGGACCGTGGTTCAATCCCCCAGCACCACATGCCAGCCAGCCCTGCCCCCTGGTGGGCTGAGCTGGCCACACATAGAAAGAGAGAGAGAGAGAGGGAGGAAGGAAGGTAGCCTTTAAAAAAAAAAAATGGATATTAAAGTACAGTTGGAAGTTCAGGAGGTATATTCATCAGGTATCAGGTTCCTGTACCGGACTTCTGATAGAGTTAAAATAGGGCAAAACATTTATTCCATGGTTACACCCACCCACTGTATGGTAGAAAAACATTGTTCATCAGTGACACTGAATTCACAAAAGGGGAAGAACTTACTGTGAAGTTGTTGCTAGTAGCGTATGGCTCTGCCCCCAGGGTGCGCTGAGACAGCAATTGAGAATGGGTATGGTGGTGTGCACCTGTAATCCCAGCGCTTGGGATTGCTCTTAAGGTTTTTTTTAAAATGTAATGCTCTGTAGATTTAGAAATAATCCAGTAATAATTTTGTAATTACTTTTTTATAGTATAGAAAAGACGAAACTGGGCGTGGTGGCGTGCACCTGTAATCCCAGCTCTTGGGAGGCTGTAAACAGGCAGATCACTATGAGTCTGATATAGTAGTGAGATCCTGAACACCCTGTAGACCCTTCCCTAAAAAAAACAAAAACAAAAGAAAAGGCTGTTTATAGCAAACATTCAGTGGCAAGATGTTTTCCTAGTGTTTCACTTAATAATCAAAAAAATTCTGGGACTCTGACATCTTTAATTTAGGGATATAGAAAAATAACATTAATAAAGCTTCATATTATCTAATTTGGCGATGCTTGTAGACCAGAATAGTGCTTGTTCAGATGTTTATTATCTATTGTTGTGTTAATCTAATTACTCCATAGAAACTAAGTTGGTGGGCCAGCCAGATAGCTCAGTGGACTGAGGCGCCTGCTTAGGCAGAGTGCAACAGCTGGGATTCGATCCCCTATGTGCTGTGCCGGCCCCGCGCCCAGGGCACATTGAGACTGGGCGTAGTGGCACACATGTGTAATCCCAGCACTTGTGAGGCTGAAAACAGGAGGATCACTACGAGTCCGATCTATGTAGTAAGACCCTGTACATTCTGTAGACTCTGTACTAAATTCATTAAAAAAAGAAAGAAACCAAGTTGGTATGACAGAATTAAACTAGTGGAGGTTTCTGACTTAGAAGTGAGAATAGTAGCAGTTTACAGCCTCTGCCATCTCATCTCAGTACCCTACCAATAAATGATGAGGCTCCTTGGAGCAAAGTGGGACAGTCCAGCAGGAGCTTTGCAATATCAAGCTTGCCTGCTGGTAGACTCCTCAGTAAGATATAAATAAGAGTTTTCCCCATATTTAATAACATATCCTACTTGGTGAGCACTAAATTCCAGAAAGCTTATTAGCATGTTCACTAGCCTTGCTACTGAAGGCTGCTTACGGGAGGGAGTCCTAGGTTTGGGGCTGGAGTGGACCACTCTCGCTAATGACTGAAAAAACCAATGTGAGAGCATTCAGGGAAAGTAGTGTTAGGACAAAATTGGCTTTGCAGCTCTGCACAGGGTTAGATCTGGAGGCTGAGTAGAAGGTCCTTGTAGTCTGTGCACTTAGGACACTTCACGTCGTGCACAGGCCAGAATATGGCAGTTTCCATGACATGATGGAAGGTCTTTGGTTTGATTTTGATTCTCTGGGTAGGACTGTACATCTTTGTATGTGCAGGGATCTACTTATCTGTTTCTTAATGTTTGCTTTTTTTACACACATACATCTCCTGCCCTCTTGGGTCTTTCCTTGCATTCCAGTCATCTTCCCCTTCCTGTACTTTGCTGTGGACTCGATGCATAGACCAGCCCCAAGCTCTGCTGAACTCTGGGCTTTTTTTTGTTTTGTTTTTTACTACCAGCCCAGGCTGGTCTCACACTCACAGTGATCTGCCTGCCTCAGCCTCCCAAGTCCTGGGATTATAAGCAAGCGCCACCATGCCTGGCTTGGGCTTTTTTTATTTCACTGTCCTCATTTCCATTTGGGTTCTTAATACATCACAGACTTGAGAAAGTCAACTCATTCCTTTCCTTTTGCAGCCCTAATACTGCTCCCCCTTCCATGCATTGTATTGGTGGCTCTGTTGCTCAGCAAGAAACTTTGGTGTCACTCTGACTCCGTGCTCTGACACTTCATTCACACGGGCCAGATAGTCCCTGTATTCTGCATGCACATATATCCAGAGTGTGCCCCTGGTCGGCCACCACCCTGTGATGCTAGATGAACCTTGTAGTGGTTAGTGGTAAATGGTCCCTTGCAGCACACGTGCCATAGGTTGGCCACCACTGGTCTAGTTTGTTTCATGATGACATTGGTCACTGTGTGGGGCCCCCATAGCCTACCCATGTGTCCCCTTTTCCTGTTACTCAGACTCACCTGTATGATCTTTCAGAGGTATGAGTTAGATTGTGTTCCTCCCTGCTCAAAATCCTAGGTGTTACCAAGTCAGAATACACACCCGGGCCCAGTTCTGCTGTGGGTCACCTGCCTGCCCTCAGCCCCAGCTACCTTTGCTTGTATGCTGGACTCACACAACCTCTGCCTAATGGTCTTCCCAGACCACCAGCTTCAGTGGCTGGACACGTGTCCCGCACCTCCTTCCGTCACCAGCATCGATAGCAGTGGTATTTGGGAAGTAGTTGTTGAATGAATGTATGTTTGTTTCATAAATCTTGTCACAGTGATTACATTGTACCTCATGACCTCTGGTACTTTTTTTTTTTTTTTT